AGCGATGGATGGTAATGATTTAATATTACATATTTTGAGTGAACTACTACAAAGACTTAATTAACAAAACCACAATTTTAAGGAAATAAACATTTTAAGTCAACTGCTGCATATTAGTCAGATTTAGTAAATACATTTTTTTTTCATAGATTTTTTCTTTCCTTTTTTTAATCACCGGTGCCTCTGAATAAATTCAGCAGCATGAAGGCACCGCATCGCCTCAGACACACCAACTGTAGAGGACGGTCTTTGTGTTCCTGTACGGCTCCATCCTGGTTTCACTAACACCGTTTTGCACTGTCTGTCTGGGGCCGGAGCTTGTGGGTCTTGTCCACACGGTGGGAAATACCTCCAGTAGAAAGGAATAAAAAGAGACTCTGCTTAACTACGGCTCTCTACTTCATGCAGTTTCTGAGACCATGCAGCAGGAGAACTTTGAAGAATACGGCTATACGTTCATAGCTCCGAGGTGAGAGCTCTTTTTTCGATTTGGATACCTTGGCAGCTTCCCTGGGAATGTGTCACCCGATCCTCCGATACTCGTGTTAAACAGTAAAAACGTGTAGAAAGAGTAAGGGATCACACTGGCAGCCAAAAGCCCATATGTGTTTGTGCGTCGAGTCACGGGGGGACTCCAGCTAATCCCATTGCTTGGTTATGCTCCCTCCTTGGTTTGACTGAGCATGTTAAAATCAAGGAGTGGCAATTTTTTAAATTCTTCATAACCATATCAGAGAAGATTTAAGAGAAAAAAATTAATTCTGTCATTTTACATCTCAGTGTGCACCCCCTACTGCGTCATGCTTCCCTGAACTTTCATCTGCAGCAGCGTCGGATTAAAGCGGTTTTTGACTGTGTCCTTCACATTGACGGCATAAGATGTTCAAGGATGTTTTATATAGCAAGAAGGTCATGAATTATAATCATAAGGCCATAGTCATATGTGAGATAAGGAGGTCTCCCTTCCTGCAGAGAGTACTGCAAGGACCTGAAGTTGTCAGAAAACAACACCCAGTTTCTTTTGGACTTCAACGAGTACATAGACAGGAAGACGCCCAACAATCCGACATGTACGTACGTACACACGCATGTATGCTTGAGTGAGATGAATCCTCGGAGAGCTGTGGTGGACCAAAGCAGGTGGAGGAGTGGTGTTTGGTGACCCCACATTATGTATGTCTGTGTGTCTACCTGAACAAATAAAAACTTAATTTACACTTTTAATAACTATCTGAATATGAGAGCAGATATTCATATCTCACCAGAGTCAATGTATTACAGACTGTCTGAATCAATGACAAAGTCAGTATCACTCTGCTATAGTACCTTAACATAAATTGCTCTAGTAAAAACAAATACCAAGCTGTGTAAATTTAAATATGCTGCTTTGCATAGATGTTAATCTTGAATAATAATTAGTAGTTGTACAATAAAAATTATTTGTAGCAGATATTCTGAACATCACACTACCCCAATTCCTAGTGTCATTAAAATCACAACTGTCACTCTCCTAATATTGTGAATATGAATGCGTTAATTTAATCTGGGCAATTTATAACCCACTTTAGGCTTAAATTTAGTCATTGTTTGTTTTTATATGAATTGTTTTGCCATTTCCCTGGAGAGGCCTAAATGTGTGCTGTTGAAAGATTTCTTCTCTGAAAGTAGTGTTTAATTTATTGAGACACTTAGGTTTTCTTTCCCCCATATATCCTTTTGAAGAATCTGTTTGAAGATCAAGCAGACCATGAAATTGATTTAGAAAAAGTAAAATGTGTGATGTATTAAGTCCAATTGTATACAAAGACCTCAAAGCTATATTCTGATAGACCGTGGTAGTAAAGAGCAGAATAATATAGATGTAAGATTTGCACAATGTTTTTTTTTTTCTTAAGATGTAATAGTTAGGTGAGCGCCATTAGCTTTTAACCTGAAATGTGTTGACGAGAAATCACATACAGCCTCAGAGCTGCGAGAACTCAGTTCTGTGCTTTTGCCGTTCGTATGTTACTCCCTAATGAGTAAAAGGTTTCAGTGGAGAGTTTGTGCTGTGTGTCATAAAGAGGTCACTCGTCTGCTATATTTAGTTGCTTGACTGACACTTTTACTTGTGCCGATTTTTTGTCGATTTACACAGCAGGGTATTTTACAGGTCCAATTTAGGGTAAGTGCCTTTTTCAAGGTTACGACATTAGAGTCCTGGCTGGGATTTGACCCGGTAACCTTCGGATAATGGGTCTGTGTTCTTTACCTATCATGCTACCTGCTGCTTGCCCTGGCCGTGTCTCTTAATTACTTATAGAAATCCAAGCTGGGTCTGTCTGTTTCCCCTTCAGGCAAGACTGCCCTGATCAACAGGCTGCTCCTGGATGCTGGGTTAACGAGTGAGCTGGTGAAGGTCTGGAAGATGCAACAAGTGTAAGCTGCAATACTTTACTTCTATTGATGAATTCAAATCTAAATTAAAGAGCCACCATTTTTTCTCTTGCTTTCAACTCAATTTGAGCTTCTAAGGTTTTTGTCAAATCTACTTTTAAGCTACTTAGAACTTATTTTAGTTACCCCTTCTTTTTTTCGGTTGATTATTGTTTTACATTTCCTTTGAGTTTAAATTTTATTTTAATTTTCATATTTTAATTTTATTTCTTGTTACACATTTTCATGTTATTTTACATATTTTATCAAGCTATTCATGTTATTTATTTATATATTTTACTCTGTATGTAGTATCTGTTAGTTAATTGTTTCTAAACTGGAAAGGTGTAAGCATGGCATTCCCTTTTTGAGTGAAGTAGTTCTTAATTTTTAATGTGTTGGGGATTGTGGTGTAATCAGTAATGAAGATCTCCCCATGCAGAGATGGTGTCCTTGCCAGATTTGTTGCTACCAATGGAGGAATCACGCGGGTTTACCCAAAGAGGTACTCCTTGCTTGCCCTCACCTTGTTCATATTCAGAGGTCCCGTGGCATGAAAAGCCTTGAACTGATGGTATCTGTTTACCTCTCATTCTGGTTTCCATCTTTCCATATGGGTCAAAAGACTCCATTACCCACTCTAAGGCCTTTTGTGTGTCATTCTTGATCTTCTTTATTAGGTCATGTTGGCAGGGCAGAAAAAGATGGCGATAAATTTGCCCCATTCAGATTCATTGCTTTGATTCTTCCTGTCCTTCCTCTTCCTGTTTCTCTTGTATCTGCGCCTCCTGTTTCTCTCAACCTTTTCTTCTTCCATGTGCACATCTACGTATGCAAGAATTTGTTGAATTAGAGCTGAGGTAATGATGAGATGAAGTTCTTTCAGAGGGAAACCACATTGCAATTTCTTGGGATGTGAAATTTGCTGAACCTTTCACTTTGTAAACGAAACCCTTTGCATTGACCCTAGGAGTTAATCTGCTTCCTCAAGATCGTTCTGCAGTGTGTTTTGATGCTCCTGTTATTCTCAGTATTGTATGGCTAATTGATGGTTGTAGCCTTAAAAGCTACCATTGTCATTCTGTCATGCTTCAGCCTTGCTCTGAAGCAGATCTCGCCATTCTTTAGCCTCAGTGTGTAGAGCTGTTAGAGTATTTATAGGACCCACAGCCAAAGATGTGGTATGTCTAAAGTTCGACTGCTGTCTTTTTAGAAACTCTGTTTTCCCAGAATTTGGTTATTTGCATCACATGACTTTAGTTTTGGGAGTACTTTAACCTTTTGTATCTGTACCCTGATTCCGGACACTTTTTTCTCTCTCTCTCCCCTTTGCACACAGCTCTGGGGATATCTGGACAGAGAACACAGAGATGTATGAGTCGAGCTTCTACAAGCGGAGTCTGGATAATGACGGTTTCATCTTCACAGCACCGTATTTCAACAGTACGTTATGTGGCAGGACTTGCAGGTGTCCTCTGTATTTTCCGTGTGTTATTAATTTGTAATTGGTCCATAGGAGTGTGCATACGTCCATACCACTGGCCCCTCAGGGCTGACTGTGTCCTGAGGTTGTGTTGCTGCCAGACACATACACAGAGTGAGGTGCGGGACGCCAGCTGTGTCCAGGGTTCTACTGGGGGAACAGCTGCATTTTCACTCAGAAACCCCCAAACCCCCCTGCCCCACACCAACACCACAGAGCACCCCATCCCCAGCCACCACACCTTATTCCTGAGCTGGAGTTCGACAGTTTGGGTTGTGGTGGGAGAGATCAGACTTATATCCTTCCAAATCCCCCCCCCCCTCCAAGTCCCAGATTTCTTTTTGAGCCTTTGGAGGTGGACATGCCCAGCACCACCAAGAGAGAGACAGATTTTAACATGCTCTTCTGTCCCCAGGAAGTGTGGATGTCTTTGAATCGGGCATCCTGGTCAGCAAAGCTGTGGAGGTGAACATAGGGGGAATCAAGATGAAACCAGCTGGTGAGAAGCCCCCGCGAGGCCGTCCTGGGCCTGTCATCCACGCGGTGTAACCGAGGAAAGCCTCCCTGGGTTACAGCCAGCCGTTTGTAAATGCGCGACCGCCCGGCCATAATGTGTTTGACAGATCCGACCGTGCGGTCTGTTTTTACACAGTGTGAGCCAGAGGTGTGTAAAGCTGTCAGTCACACGCCGATACGGGCTGCGTTATCAGGCCTAGTCGGGGCCCCCTTTCAGCCGCCAAATCCACTCTCATTCTTTTTATGTTTTTTTCCCCCCGGCCACAGTTGTTGGCGTGAAGCTCAACGTCACGGCCTGGATGATGAGCTTCATGAATGCTACAATGAAGATTAACGTAAGGAGGGATTGTGCTTTGTTACCTATATACCCTTCAGATGCACGCATTAAGCGAGAGGAATGACACTGTCAAATAACATCAACATGTGAGTGTTTTCCTTCCCTTTAGTGCAAAGATGAGATCTGCGGTTGTGTGAAGAATGATAAGGTACATAAAACTTCCATGTGGAAAGAGGAAAATGGAATTAATCTCTTTCACAGCTCCCTCCCCCTTCACAGAGTGAATTCTCTTTACAGCATGTTGACTGTGTCATTCTGGATGATGGGGGCTTCTTGATGATGTCCAATCAGGATGAGTATATCTCTCAGGTGAGCCTGAGTCATATTCTGATCACATGCACGTCATCCATCATGTGTAGGTCTCCGTCACTCTCCTTCCGCAATCTGTTAAATAAATAACAATTGAAAGAAAACAAAGCTTATCACGGATGGGTGGATGGAAAATAAATCAGCAGCTTATTATTTTTGCAGGATTATTTTCATGAGGGCCAGAGTTCATTTTTATGAAGGAGAGCCAGTTATGAATCATATTTTAAAAATATTTCACAGCATATTCACTGTGAAGAACCATACCCCAAACAGTACACTAATCACTGAAGTATTGTCATATTATGGGATGGAAAAGATGGAAATGGTGATGGGAGGATTAAGGATTTCTTAAATGGCTGTTGGCCACCATCTGTGTTACCCAGGTGAGAGGTTTGTGGATTTATTTGCTGTATGCTCCCTACATTTCAAGAGGCGCTGGTCTTATTAATGAAAAGATTGAACACAACGTAACAAATGTTTGATGATGGAAAAACGTCACATTCAATCCATCAAGATGGAGTGTCTTTCTTCCTGAAGGCCCCTCTGCTAGATTGCAAAGCGGGACCAGAAACAGATGTCACATCCAATATGATACACAGATTTTCTTGAGTCAGATTCATGTGTCAGTGATGTTTTTTTCTTTTTTTTCTGTTTTGTTTTGATGCTGTCTCTGGATACCTCTCACAATATTCAAGGACTGAGAATCCGGTGCAAAACCGACCTGCTAATTTTCCCTTCCACCACAGATCGGACGCTTCTTCGGCGAGATCGATCCCATTCTCATGATCAACCTGGTGAACAACTCTTTGTACACCTTCAACAAGACCTACGACTACCAGTCGGTGTGCACCCCAGCCCGGACTGGCAAGAGGGGAGCAGGCCGACGTGTCTTCGTGGTGAGTGTCCACTGCAGGGCTACTTGTCCTTAGTTTTGTTTGGATAATCTCTAACAGCGTAATTATGTTTAAATTATGTCACAAGATCACTTTTATTATGTCACATTCCTTGCACTTTGTAATGCAATAAATGAGTCAGATCCTCCCTTCATTTAGTTTCCAGAAGCAGATCCGGAAAATAATCAAAGTAATAATAAAATCAGCATAAAATGCAAATGTTAGAAATGGATCCCATTTTGGGAGGGGAGGGGGGGAGGAACCTAAATTTCCCTGCAAGGTCATCTTACATTTGTTAATCCTGTTCAGCCCACCATTGCGGAAATACTGAACTTGGGCTGGTGGGCCAGTACGACTGCTTGGTAAGTACCACTCCATTCGCAACCGACAAGTAGCCAAACCTTGAACCTCAACGCAAAACCAGAAGAAGGATATAGTCCTACATTATAAATAACCAGTCTCTTTTTAGCATGTAATCTTTCTCTTTCTCTTTCACCTCTAGGTCACTGTTGCAGCAGTTCCTCGTCGGTCTGGCGTTTCCAGAAACTCTGGTTGCAGGTGAGTTTGGAAGCGATTTATCAGGACGCTTTAAAATAACTTAAATCTTTCTTCGGGGTGTTTGAACCACTCTTTCTCTGTCGACAGACATGTGCGACGAATACAGCAATATATCCAGAAACTTAAAAAAAGGCTATCAATCTCCTGTGGTTTTTTTTTTGACACATCCTGGAGTTTCACTTATGACGTGATTTAATTTTTATTTTTTTTTACCTTGAGAAATTTTTATAGATTGTCTTGGATTTCAAAGAATGGGCATGATGTTATTTTGACAGGCTTTTAAAAATAGAATTAGTTTTATATGCCATATAAAATATATATTCAGAGTGGAACATAAAATATCCCCAGAAACGGGAACCACTGATGTCTAGTTTGTATGGCTACAGAACCAACAAATAAAGTATCTATTCGATCTCATGTTGAGCAGGTCTGTTTCATATTTTTGTTTTTAATGGTCAGCAAACACGTATGATATCTGTGTTGCGGACCACAAAGGACCGTATGGAATAGCGTTTACTGCCCCACTCAGGCTTGGAAGATGTGTTTATTGTGACCGGTGCTGATATTCAACAGCAGAACTCTCAGTAAAATCTACTGGCTCTGGGCTAATGGGAAGACCATTATGGGTAGTGTTCTGACAGCCTGTGTGTGTATTTTGTTTATATTACATTGTGGGGACCAAATGTTCCGCACAAATGTAATAAAAATCTGTTATTCCCACAAAGATCTGTGAACGCAATTGAAAAACTGAAAATGCCAAAAGTCTCGTATTTTGTTTGGTTACTTATGGTTAAGATTAGGGCTGGGTAGGGCTTAAGGTTGGGATTAGAGACTTTTCCCCATAGAAATGAATGGGGAGTCCCCACAAAGATATAATTACAAACTTGTATGTGTATGTCTACCCGCCTACCCAAGCCGACATGGATGATGAGGAGCCCATCCTCTTGGAGAGCTGCATCATGGAGCAGACTCAGTACTACTTTGAGAAGGATGATAAGACCTTGCCTGGAGTGCTTGACTGCGGAAACTGTTCCAGGTAGAGATGCCCCGTCACGGACAGCCTAGGTCTGGGGGGTGACCCTGCAAGTGGGAAATAGCAGCATCTTTGGCTAAATTGTGAACTTCAAGTCCAGAAGTATGGACTGCCACTGAGATAAGCACCTTCCCCTACTCCACTGGGTGAATTATTTAGCGGAAAAGTGATTACGATGTTTGTGTGTACAGACTGAGAGAATGATCTCTTCTCCCTAACTTGCCATTTGGTTCCTAAGCTTCCTGGATGTGGCTCTGCTTCTTTGCTCTCAAGGTCAGCGCACCTTGAGATGATAATTTGATGAGAGGTTGCACGGGAAGTGGACCTAGGTGCCCCATCAAACCATAAATATATCATTTGGAGGGCTTTTTTTGCAAACCCCTTGTATAGGGGAAGCTGTCTGGGGGGCTGGAAATACGACATTCCACGTGGAGCACCAGCAATGCTGCGTTCTCTCCTCCACATTAACGGTGTCGGGCGCATAAAATTTAACAGCCACCATAAAGAAGCGTCAAGTTCCAGAGCAGTCAACCACTGTGCTGATCTTTAAGTCATATAACTTCATCTGAACCCCATACCTGTATAAACATGGCACCCCCTTGACTGTTCATTACGGCAGGTCTGCAGTGAGACTGTGAAATCTTTAAATATGCAAACACTTCAGCTTCTGTACTAGACCAGTATGATGGACCTGCTCAGATTAAAGCGTCTGTTTGCAGATTTTCTTTGATATTTCTTTGTGAACCAAGCTTTGTTATGAATTTATCTTTAAAAGGATTCTTTTAGTTGCTTCATTAGCAAAAGAAGAGAAGATTTTGGAGAATGCTTATGGATGTCTGCTGTAATTCATCTGCAAAAAAAAAAAATTCTGTATTTCAGGATGTACTATGCTGAAAAGCTGGAGAACACAAATTTAGTATTCATCATCACCGATGCCAAGGGGACCTGCTTGTCATGTGACCCGAGACCTCTGATACAATCAGAGCAGCTGTGTATCCTTCCCGCACAGCACATCAAAGCACTAAAACCACATGTTATCGATTCCTCAACCTAAAAGTCACTTCTGTGGTCCAGGTATTTTTTTTTTGGTGGGGGGGGTTAGGGGTGCTGGAGACCATCCCCAGCTGCACTGGGCACAAGTTAGGGGACATACACAGAGGATGGGATGCCAGCCCATTATGGGGACATACACACACTATGGAAATTGCAATTTAGAGATGCTGATTCACCTGCAGAACATGCAAAGTCCACAAACCGAGCGAGGGTGGGATTTAAACTGCCAGCCTGGTTTATTAGCAGCAACTGTGCTCTTAATCAGAATTTGGGATGGACTGTTTATTAGGTCATGTGACATAAGGGCCAGGTCAAGGGCCACCTTTGGTTTTGAAACTCAGGCTTTTAGGGGCAACTAAAGATGGCCTATGTTTCCTGAACACTTGGTTTAGCCAAAGGCCCAAACCCTTGCGAACTTGCCAAGAATCCTAGATACAGAAAAGGACCGGACGTCTGTTTCGATAATGACATCAACGTAAGTTGCCCTCCTCAAAGGCAGAGAAAAAATCAGTCTGCAGATTTAATTGGTCATGTGACCGGGCTTCCCATGCCAGCCGTATTTCAGCTGCAGATCAGCTTCAAGCGTTGATTGTTTATGAATGCACCATGATTTTATCAAGCATTTCTTCCATTCTTTTCTGTAATTAAATAAATATCCAGCTTTCACACAATAAGACACCCCCTTCCTCTTTCTTAACCTTGAACCAGTTGAGCAGATTCAAATTAAGGGTCTTTTGTGTGAAATCTCGATTTTCTTGCTTACCTTGTTTCCTGAGCCTCCTTTTGGCCACATCACCCTTTGTGCCCTCGCTTCACTCTCAACTCTGCAGCCTGAAAAACTGTCTCATTCGCTCACCCTCTCTCTCTCTCTTTCTTTGCCGGTGGTGGCTGTTGCATGACATGCTCATTCCCCTCTCTGAGCCCTTTTCCTCCTCCACTGTACTCTCTCGCCGCTTTCGCATTTGCTGCCACTCGCATCCCCACATTGCTGATAGGATGAACCCATGTGCCCCGCCAGCCACGGCTCCGCCAACTCGGCCTCTGCACCGCTCTGCATTTCGCTGCCTGTGTTCTTGTGGTGTCAAGGGTCAGTGTCACCTCCGTCTGCTCTGTTTCAGGGTCTCATAGCTCTACCAGCATCTCAAGTCATAAGCCATAGTTCTGCGGATACTGTCTTTTTCATTGTCGTTAGTAACAGTACTAATGATAGTCTTAGTAGTAACTGGAACAACCTTAAAAGAGATATACAGTGGTACCTCGGTTCTTGAACTTAATCCGTTCCGGACTCCAGATCGAATCCTAAAAAGTTCGAGTTCTGATCGAATTTT